ATGTAAATAAAGAAAAAAAATAATCTTGCCTCTGCATTTTAACAAAACATGTAATATGCTAAATGAGGCAGGTTTTCACAGCATGCCCTTCTTTCCACGTCTCAATATTTATAAGCTATCTCGTGTTTGTGTGGCTCATAAAACACTGTATGCCACAGTGCGGTGCCATTATGTGTGACTGCACGCAGAGAGCAACACCTCGGAGCAATAACTGACACTGCCAGATCAATTTAGCGCAGTGCTCCCTCCGATCCCTCTGCAATCACTCCTCACCTCCGCTGTACTTTTTTCAGCCACAATCTCAACCCTGAGACTTGGAGGAAGATTCAGCTCCCCCTTACTTTTTGGTTGCGCAGGTTTTATTAATACACTCTCTTGGGAACTGGCAAAACTCATCCGCACTTGTCTGTGTCTAAATTTTTCATTGTGAGCTACATATAATCTTAAAGCACAAATATCTAAAATCAGACAGCCTCGGGAGGATTCAGTAGTAGATGCAATCTAGTGTCGTCCATGGCTGTTCTCTATGAAATATAGATGCCCTGATACTGTTCTATTTTTACCAGCAGCACTGGATCGGTGCTGGCAGAAGAAGATCACAGTGTGACGAGGGATTGCGGGATGGCATGGGGAAAAGGAAGGGGGAGGCAGTGGGGGCACTATACATATGTCCTGTTTCTATAGCAACTGTTGGCCGGGGGCTTGAGTTTCTGACAACTGTCTTTTAACTACCTTCAAACAAGCCAGCTGTTGGACAGCGAGTGTCGTGTGATGAAGTTGCGTACGTCAGCAAGTAAAGAGCTGTTGGGAGCTAGATGAGGCTCCGCTCTGCAGGGATCGATTGAGTTTCCTTTGATACAGCATTCTCTGCTTATCAGAGACATCAGCATTGCCATCTGTGTTCAGGCTCCAGGAAGCAGCTACGCCAAACTTTTACAACTTCAAAAGAAATAGATTCTAAAATCATCATTTTACAAGGAGACGAATGTCATACTGTCTGTATATACCTCGATGTGCTTCTTGCTTTTCCTATCTTCCTACATAGATTGTGCTCTCTGGTGTGGACTTCACTTCACTGTAAATCATTGCCTTAGATCAGGGTTATCAAACATGTGACCTGTGGACCAAAACCTGCCCACCAAAGAGACAAATTTGGTCAACTGGTCAATTGCAAATACACTCCGGATAGGCCGCCCATCCATCATGGGGAAAATACAGTGAGACAAAAAAAATCACTGCCCTAAAGCTAATTTAAAATTACAGATTAATCTAGCATGTATGTCTTTTCAAAAAACCAAAATAAAACATGCAGGAACAAGGAGAATATGAGCATATAGAAAGGCACCAGCTGGCCAGTAGCTTTACTAACACGAGATAACAAAATTACGGGAATGTAAAGGTATTCCATAGAGTTTTGCTGGTCTGGCCCACTTGATATGACACCTCTGCTTAGACATTTGGCTGTCTGCCTGTAAATGTGCCAACCTATCATAGCCCCTGGCTTTGCCCCTCAAAACTTGAATATTAAGCTTTCTTTCTGTCTTTTTGAGACTCTTTTTTTTTTGTTAACTTGTCTATCTCTAAGTCCTGGTTCCTGAAGATTTTTTTAACATACTCATAAAATCCTTCCATTATGTGGCTTCACTTCACGCACCAGAGCAGTTCGTTTAACAATAACACACAAATATGAAGAGATTAAACACATAATACAGAGACACAACTGCTACAAAGCAGCAGTGCAAGTGCGTGTGAGAAGAAAAACAATGTAGTATAGTATTAGAAGCGCTACTTGAATGTGCGTACACTTTAAGTGCTTTGGACAGTAAAGACCAGTTTAGCTAATTTAAGAATAAGACGTGTCTAAGAGATTTTACACCCTGCTCTTTGAGCTGTAGTCCTGGTAAGGGTTAAATGTCTGAAAGCAACTGAAGAAATAATTTCTAATTCAAATGTAAGTTTTGAATTTGTACAAATTTAATACATACAAATAGATACCCCATTTTAGGGTCATATATAACAATACAATTGATGTGAAATTGTTTGGAGCAAAAAGGAAAAAGAAAAGCTGGAATAAAACTCACTCCACACAGAGAGGTCTCCATTCCTGGAAGGAATACAATTTTTACAGATGATTAATCAGTAAATGAAGATTTCATACCGGGCATTTGCCTGGTGGGCCGATGGTGGTTTTTCATTTTTATGGGCCAATGTTTGTTTGTTTTTTTGTTTGTTTGTTTGTTTGTTTTGTTTTTTGCAACAGTATAAACAATGAAAGGTGGTGGATTGGCCAGATGCTGGCAGATGTGTAAAAATAACTCAGTTGTTTGGTGCTGGCTATGGCGGAGCTTCCACAGAGGCCAGCAGGTGGATGAGGGAAAGGGGAGGCAGGAGGAGGAGAGACCCGAGGCGGCCGCCGGTCCGAGTGTCAGGTGAACTGAACTTCAGGTAAGAAGTTATGACCTGCAGTCTATCTGGGTCAGATATAAACCAAGTTTAGGTGGAGTTTATTTTCGTTGTGCTGACTTTTTACAGTCGTTACAATCACTAGCTAGCATGACGGAGTTTATATTACTGCTGGGTGGGTGCTATGATGTTACTGATAGTAAACTTTATTTTGTTCATAAGGTTAGTTAGTAGAGTCCCATAAAAAACGGAATCGTCTGGTATTCAGAGAAAATATTACGCGTTTCGTATTGAGTGAAAAGGAACACAGTTTGTCCCGGACTTCAGCTACAATGAAAAAGACACAAAGCTGGAGTTATTCTGTCTTTGCTGCACAGCTGCCTCTTCTTCTCTCATTCTCTCCCCTCCCTCTCCTGTTGCTACTTCAATCATGAAACTGATCAATGATCAGCTGATCGGTTTCTCTCTTGTTTGTTTATCGCTCACTTTGCGCCAGAAAGAGGAAACCAGCGGATGTCGCGCTAAACAACAGCAGCACGTTTAAGCTTGATCAGCTGTTGTTAGAATTTATTTAATATTAATTTCTAGTATCAGCTGATGTTTGCTGGAGCCACAGCTGTAAAGCTGCTGGTCATGATATCGGTTTGGATTGGTGAGAGGGAAACATGAAGATGAAACCAGGAGATGTCCTTACTGAATCATCAGAGCTGTGATGGAGAAACAGGTTTACCTTTTAGGTGACATGAATGAGTTGAAGGGAAGTTATGAACTGTTTCTGAGAGACAAATAACACCAGGATCCTTTTTTAGGTAGCTGACAGCTGGTAACTGTGCAGGGGCGGGTCTAGCAAAGTTTTGCCAGGGGGCCAGGTAGGGCATTAACAGGGAAAGGGGGGCACAAAGAAATACTTTTCTTTCTTATTCTCATTTAAAATGTCTAGCTTTTAATAAATAATTATCTGAATCTTACAACCAAAGTTTTTATCTGATGTAAAATGTATAGAAATCATACATATACCAACAAGACTGTACATCACTGTCACAACAGCGTTTGTTTTCATTCAAAGGCTTTATGGCTTTTCCTGTAATACCTGGTGGGCCGCTCTCTAGTCAAAATGCCCAGGCTGATTTTTTTTTGTCCTAGTTCAGCCCTGGGCACGACACGCATTGAATTAATCTTAGATCACATTAACATGTGTATCTCTGTATTAACAAACATGTCATATTGGCCCAGTTTCTCGTTCTTATCATTGTTGTGAGGAGACCATAAATAGCATTTGCTCATTTGTTAGCTGTTTCATGTCATGTCCTTTTAAACAAAATTTTGGGAAGAATTATTTATGCAAGATGGAGACAAAGAGATTAGGAAACTGATTTTTTTTTACTGATGTTTATGTCTTTAAAAAGCAACACCTATCCAAGGTGTACCTCGCTTCTCTTACTTTGATAAGTTTGATAAGCAGCTAACAAGGTATCAACTATAATGAACGACTGAGTGACAGTAATAAAAAGGTGAAGTTGTGGTTATCCTGAGCCTGAAGAAGTTTTGAATGCTTTTTAATTAGTATTATTCCCTGTGCAGTTTTTCACCCCTTTGATTGTACGCCGTGAAATAAACAAACGTACACAAACAATTGCACAGGTTACTGTCATCATCTGAGGATAATTGAAATGTGTGGCTGGCATGTTTCCTCTCCGTCCCTTCTAGCAGGGCTAATTAGGGCTCCACTGCCAGGAGAACAGTGCACACACTGAGCAGACATCTGATGGCTTTGATCCACACATACACGCCAGCTGTTGCACCAGTTCAACCACCCAACCACCTTGGAGATGCTCTGCACTTCTCTTTCTGTTGCTTTTCATTTAATTCATCTATTACGAATTATGAAAACATTATTTAGTGGGATGTAGCTGCATGGGGATGGATGGTTACACACAGTCACAATGAAGCTCTAATTATAGTTTTCCTTTTGGCAAGACTTTTGTTGATTATATTTGGAGGCAGTCATAGGTAGTAATAGTTAATTTCCCATGTGACAAATTCAAGCATAAACCACATAAAACAATATTACGTCTTAAGGCACATTTGTTCAAAACTGAAATGTAAAAATAATTATAATCCTAAATTAAGATTTTGGAAATTTTTATGTAATTGACAATGAATTTGTTGATTTGCTGGTTGTCTTCTTAAACCCCAATTGCTACTTTTTTGTCCTTGTAAACCAGGTTTTGGATGCTTTTAAGTCTTTTTATAATATTTTGACACCAACTACCATTTTTGTGTCCTTTTAAACAAGGAGAATTTTTAAATTATTTTTATAAAAATATATTTTGTTACAGGTATATTTTTTTGCTTTTTTTAAACCAAATCTTAGATTTTTAAAAATATATTTTTTCAGATCTATGAGGCTTTACTTATTTTTATACCCTGAATCTCTACAAATTGAGTTTTTTTTTTTTAATCCAAAAGCATATATTTTTTTTTACATCATTTTCAATGGCAAATAGCTGCCCTCATCATCTTCAAAGCTAAAAAAAATCTGTTATTTTAGATTTTCTCCTAACGTCTTCCTTTGTATTTTCTCTATATTCCCCCAGCCCTTCTTTATGCCACCATTTTTGGTAACGTGACAACGATTTTTCAGCAGATGTACGCCAACACAAATCGTTATCACGAGATGCTCAACAGTGTCCGGGACTTCCTGAAGCTCTACCAAGTTCCCAAGGGCTTAAGTGAAAGAGTAATGGACTACATTGCCTCCACCTGGTCCATGTCACGGGGCATAGACACTGAAAAGGTATGTCAACATGCGCTCACTGGCTATTTATTTTTTGTTTCTAATTAACAGATGACGTTTTTTTGTTCTTGGTTGAAATGCTGAAATTTTAAATAATCTGCAAATAGCATATAGATGTTAAAAGCATAGGAACACAGGGTAAATTATATACTGTAAATAACCTGTGTGTGTGTATGTATGTATGTATGTATGTATGTATGTATGAATATATATATATATATATATATATATAGGTAAAATTTATGAGCTTGCTAAAAAGAGACACTGCTGTGGTGCTCATTCACCCATCCTCCTGAGTTAAAATGATGCTAAAATGATCTGAGTGTGTTCAAATTAAGCATTAAAATCTGGAAGCGGAGACACTGAAATAGTGCCACTCTGGTTAATCACGAGCCAAAAAGCATTCATATCACTGCATCCCATTTAAATCCACTTATTATATCATTTCACCTCCAATTAGGCTCATAACTACAATGACACAGGGATTTTATTACAGGGAACACCACCTCAGTGATTCAACTTTAATGATTCTTATGCTCATTTATTTTGTTGTTCCTATGTTGAGGCTGAACTGCATGTATGGATCATCTATTTGTCTAGCTGAAGGCCTCACTAAAGGGTCTAAAAATGGCACATAATCCCTTTCTGCTTGACATTCATCTTCAAAGAGATGTGTTTTAAAGGCAGAACCCTGCAATGGCCTGGCATCCTGTTGATTAGCTGTGCTTGGAATGACATGCTGCCACTGAGTGACACTCAGCAGAGAGGTGGCTGGACTCCATGTCGCCCACATGTGAAACCTGACATATTTAGTGCCATTCGACAGATAAGTTGACCCCTAGTGCAGAAATTAGCTGGACACATATATTGTCTGTTTTATCGCATATCATTAAGAAGGGCCTGCATAATATTTGCTATGGATTTCACATTTAACAATAAGCATAAAGTGTATGTTGTGTAATGTAAAATGTTTATGTAATAAAATTTATATATTTAAAATGTTATAATTTACTATATTATATACTTTTTTTACTATTATTTCTTGTATATATATGTATATATATATATGTGTAGTTATATATATATATATATATATATATATATATATATATATATAGCATGTAAGTAGTGTAGTGTGTTAATTATATTGTGGTTATATATATATATATATATATATATTATATATATTATGTAATATAATAATTATGTATATATATATATATATAATATGATATATTATAATATAGTATTATTATGTATATATATGTATATTGGTATGTATATAATGTTATATATGTATGTATATATATGTATATATGTATGTATATATTATATATATATAGTATATGATATATGTATATGTATATGTATGTTATATATATATTGTATTATTGTATGTGTATATGTATGTATGATATGTATATGTATATATAGTGTATATATATGTATGATATATGTATATATATGTTATATGTTATATATATATATATATATGTGTATATATGTGTAGTATGTATATATATATATGATGATATATATGTTATATATATATGATGATTATATATGTATATATATATATATATGTATATATAATATAGTATATATATATTATATGTGATATATATTGTGTTATATATATATATATTGTGTATATATTATATATATGATGATTTATATATGTTATATGTATATATATATATTATATATATTGATATGTATATATATATATGTGTATATATATATATTATATGATATTATATATATATATTGTGTTATATATATATATATAGTGTATATATATTATATGTGTTGTGTGTGTGTTTATTGTGTGTGTGTGTATGTTGTATTTCTCGTGTGTTGAATATGAAAAAGCTTCAGTCTTAAGGTACTTTACTTTTTTCAACTCCCATGAAATCTGCTGCACGGATATAAGACATCTGTTTATATACAGTTAACCACTGACCACTGTAATGAAGAGAAATTATAGATGGGTACATCTGTTTCTGATTTTAGTGTGTGCAATCTGTCTACATGAAAAACATTTTGCTCATTAATGGATATTGAACAATTGCAGAAAAGTTTAAAAATTCACATTTTAGTGGACTCAATTAAAACATATATGTATAGTATAATAAATACTCTGCTTTTTGCTGGAAGAAAATCGACAAAAATACCAGCCCACCTACACATTACATCTGCAAGAGCTGCTCAGCCATGGAAACCTATGCCCTGAGGCTCCTGCTGCACAGTTTTGAGCAGTTCAGTTTTATTTATATTGCACCAAATCCTAACAGTCATCTCAAGGTGCTTTATACTGTAAGGTAAAGACCCTAAAATAATACAGAAAATATACAAATAATCACACAAGCCCCCACAAGCAAGCACTTGGCAACAGTGGGAAGGTAAAAACTCCCTTTTAACAGGAAGAAACTTCCAGTAGAACCAGGCTGAGAGCAAGGGCTGCCTGCTGACATAACTGATGAATTATAACTGATGATTAAATGGTGTGAAAATGCATGGGGATGGAAAAGTCGAATCTTAGAGGTAGAAAGGGTGTCTGTTTTGTGAATCCAAACTGGGAGCTGGTTCCACCAAAGACTGGCCCTGAAAGCTGAAGGCTTGATAAAGTTTGATTAAAAATTTGACTACCACAACTTTGTAAAAAAGGAGGATAATAGGTGCTTTTCTGTCCACATCTGTTAACAAGGTAAAGCAACATGGGAAATTATCCTTTATATAATTTTAGTTATGCAGTCGCCACCTACTCTGTCAGGACCAAATGAATCACTGCCTCATATATAAGCCCACATGTAACAACCTTAATCACTTACTGATGATTAATGGTTTCAAATACCCTTTATGCATCAAGCCAGATAAACACCTGTATGTACGTCACACTAGTGAAATGAGGCAAGCTGTAACGGTGGCCTGTGTAGTGTGCATTATAAGGTATTTTCTTTTATTTGTTTCCAGGTGCTACAGATTTGTCCGAAGGACATGAGAGCTGATATTTGTGTTCACCTCAATCGCAAAGTTTTTAAAGAGCACCCGGCTTTCCGATTGGCCAGTGATGGGTGTCTCCGAGCACTGGCCATGGAGTTTCAGACTACCCACTGCGCCCCTGGCGACCTGATCTATCACGCTGGTGAAAGTGTGGACAGCCTCTGTTTTGTGGTGTCAGGGTCACTGGAGGTCATTCAGGATGATGAGGTTGTTGCCATTTTAGGTGAGTAAAGCTCCTTTGTTTTACTTTAAAGAGAACTATGTGTAATTCCTAATTTTTACATTAGATTTGAATTGATCTTATTTTATTTTTTAAAATAAAATAAATGTCTGGTACTTATTTTTCATTACATTCTAAATTAACCAGATAACAGGAAATTGACCTAATTTTTAACCTTCTCTCTAATGTCCCTCATAGCCGTTTTGGGCTTTTTTTCACTGCTCATACCGAGGCTGCTGCCTTGTGGCTAGCTCTGCACTCTAGCTAGCTTCAGATTTATCTACTTTCCGTTCATTAGCTTCATCAAACTAGGCATGTTTAGCTGGGCAAAGATGACTCAAGTGTATCATTAGATTTGTTGTTACAAAGTAATCATGGTGATTCACCCATGGTTTACTTTGTCAAATGTTTTGTCTTTCTTCTCTTACTAATGCCTACAGCCACAAGCTAATGACATGTTCGAGTATGGCTGTGAGTGCCTGAGTGATTATTTGTCTTCACCATTGTGCACGTGTTGCGCATGCATGAAACAGACTGGCTCATAATTGGAAAAATGTGACTGACCAGCCGGTCACCGCTCCAGGCCGAGCATGCTGAAATTTCATTCTCTGATGAACTGATCAGTGCATTTCTACAAAAATTAAAATGTAGAAATTAGTGAAAAGTAATCTACCTCTAAACAAACCTCATTCTATAATAATGATAAATTTGCATCATGCTGAAAATATACAACATGTATAGTATAAATTTTCAGGCCATTTGAAGGAATATACTACTACTACATGCTTGATGAGGAAATTTGCATTTCCTCCATTGGAGAAGCATTATACCTCTTCATTTCCCCAGCTGTCGAAGGACCTGCTGCTGATCTCCTCGGTTGTTTCACAATATAAAGTTTTAGATTACTTAAGCTGTGTGACTCAGATGCATTGACAATAGTGTCTCTAATCTGAATGTATTGTCTTGGAGGCACTTCAACACCAAAACACTGGTTGATAGCATAAAGGCTTTTAAGTCTAAGTGGCCTCTAGCTCTCTCTGAACATCATAGCAAGAAAATAATTTTGTTCGAGGACTTACTTAAATCCTCCCTTTTCTTTTTTGCCTAGCAGCACTTTGCAAACTGTCCCTGTCTGCAGTGTCAGCTGAGCTGTTTGGGGATCATTTTCTGCTGAGTGATGGATTCAGGATTTGGACAAGAATTTGTTTGTCAGTCCTCTCAGCAACAGTAAAGTCTGGTATTTTCAGTTTTATCTGAATCACATTAAGCCAGCTCACCTACTTTGGGCGCATATTGTAATCATCTCTAGTACATCAAATTTACTGCATTTTATTGGCTGTCCCCTTAAATATTGTCTGAGATCAATGAAAGATTTTAGCATTTTAAACAGTTGGAATGATAAAGATTTGTGGTGCTGTGAACTGCATTAACAAACATTCAGTTTTGCCTGTACGAATTCATCATTGTGAACTACAAGGGTATAAGTGAATTAAAATTAAAAAAGTTGTCGCCTCCCAGCTTCACTTACACCTCAATAGCCATAATCTCTATGAACAATTTCAATCTGGCTTTGTTAAGGATTACCAATGACCTTCTGATGACAGCTGATTCTGGTCTCCTATCCATCCTCATCCTTCTTGATCTTAGTGCGGCGTTTGATACCATTTCTCACAATATTCTCCTGAACCAGTTAGCATCCATTGGCATTAGTCATATCCCCCTTGCCTGGTTCACCTCCTATCTCTCAGACCGCACTCAGTTTATCCAAATTAAATCCCATTCTTCAAGTCTCCATCCTATTTCTGCTGGTGTGCCCCAGGGTTCAGTATTAGGGCCTCTTTTATTCATTATTTACATGCTCCTGCATTGATTACTGCAATTCCCTCTTATTTGGTCTCCCTAAAATGTCCCTTCATAAACTCCTTCTTCAAAATTCCGCAGCTCGGGTCATAACTCGTACTCCGTCAAGAGCTCATATTACGCCAGTTCTTCAGCAGCTTCACTGGTTGCCCATAGAAGCCAGGATAAACTTACTTCTCACATACAAGTGTATCCATAAATCTGCTCCTTCCTATTTGTGTGACCTGCTCCATATCACCACTGTCTCCCGCCCTCTCCGATCATCATTTGCTATTCATCTTACTGTTCCGTCCACACGTCTTACCACTATGGGGAACAGAGCCTTCAGTCACTCTGCTTCTCGGCTCTGGAACTCTCTTCCTCCAGCCATAAGAAATATAGACTCTCTTCCTGCATTTAAGTCACAGCTCAAAACACATCTGTTCAAACTGGCTTTTTCACTTTAGTGCTGATTTTACCTGTTGTCAAGTTCTGCTTTGCAATTTTAACTTATTTTATGTATTTTATGACTATTGCTTCTTTTATTAATTTTGTTCTTTTGTAAGGTGACCTTGGGTTTTTGAAAGGCGCCCTCAAATAAAATGTACTATTATTATTATTATTGTTGTTATTATTATAAAATTAGTGTAAAAAACATATTCTACATACCTGAAAAATCACCTAAAACTATATTATTTAGTGTAAAACTGCCTAGAATAAGCTTTTGTGGTTAATAAGTGTCTTGGGATTTACTCTCAATTCTTTTGTTCAAATTTGTCAATCTAACCAGTCTGTGGTGTCTGTGAAACTATTTTCAGTGCTGTATTCATTTAAGTTAAATGAAATTAGTTGAAACTAAACCTAACTGAAAATAAGCATTTTAAAATAAATAATAATTAAAAGTATTATAACTCAGGACTGAACAGAAAATCACAACGCAACACTTGCGATCTTTTGGCCTTCAAAGGTTACAATCAATACCTGTGCCACAGGTTCATTTCAAGCAAACATGTAATATGGCTGCCTGGATTGATTTTTCACTGATATATTGTAAAGGCAATGAAACTGAACAACATAACAAACGAAATAAACCAATGTTATTTTTAAATACCTAGTTAGCTTCCATTATTTCTTAAGATTTTATTATGAGCTAATTTGAAAAAGCTTTAGTTAAAATTGCATCTTTCACAATCTGTAGCCAATGACGCAACAGTCAGAAGATAATAACTATCTAACAAATGGCTATGTTGAGCAATTTATAATAAACCTGTAAAGAAATATTACCTGAATCTGCACATGATTAGCATCTACAACTTTATTCGTTGGCTTTACACCAGCTCAACTAACTTGTGACTATAGTAGAGACTTTTCTGGAGATTTAGCTCTTTAAGACCTACATACTTCACTTAGGAGTTAGTAGAAACAAAAAAAATGGGTTAAAAAGTTCACACTTGCTCATAAGGGATTGCTGGATTGTTTGAATTCTCTCTATAATGTTATACTAATTAATATTAAGCATACTGGGATAAACAACGGTGAGCATAATGGAAAACCTGAGGGATTGGTAGAAATCAAAGGCGGTGCTAAAAGGGGGTAAATATCATTACATTTGCAGTCTGCTTGCTCATAAGTGATTTATTAGCAAACACACTATTACAAAGGCCACTAATTTCCTAAAGTATTTTTCCCACAGTGGTTATGATAGATGTATTGACCTGAGACCTGTGCCAGTAAATGAGGCCATACTTGACCAGATTAAAGTAAGCACAGTATCAGCGTCTGTAATGACTACACCATCTAAGCCTAATGAATATTAATAAGGACCTACTCCTAACTACTGGGATACTTCCCATGTTAGTGACCCTAGTTTGTCTTCCAATGCATCTAGATTTGATCTTATTTTAAAAAATAAAGTAGAAAACTGTTCACAGCAGAATGTTTTGTTGTTAAAACATCATCATTTAACGTGCTTTATGAGTAATTTAATGAATAACGGATGCCATGCTCTGGTAGGAAATGTTACAGTGCCTTGGCTGGTTTCTGTCAATATCCTTCTATTGTTTTCTCTTTGCATAAATCAATATACTGTCAACATGAAACCAATGAACCGGAAGGCAACTATAGTGATGAATAAATAGCTTCTTTGTATTGAATTCCTTATGAGACTAATAACAAATGAAAAAGAAACGGCATGTAAAGTAAATCAGCAAAAAAGACAGGGCATCTGGTTTAATCAGCTACTGCTATTTTTACCACTGTACCACATACTGCTTTAAATTAATGCTTTTGCCACATATAAGGTTTATTTTCATCCACTGCGTGTGTTTCGTCATGTCATCATGTGAAGAAATAACAAGGTGTTTTAATGTCAAGACAATAAAAAAGAAAAAGAAAAAAAAGTTCATGATAAGCTGTTGATTATACTGAGTCATAGTACTCCTTTGTTCAGGGTAGTTTATGGTAATACTGGGCTTCTCAAACTTAAAAAAAGTGCTGTGCATGAGTCACAAATGACAGACCTTATAAATTACTGAGTTGGTCTAATGAGCTTTAGATTATGAAGGTAATTTAACACTCTTTATAAAGGTTTGAAAGCTATATTTCTTATATGTATTAATAGTTAATACATCAGTTGTAAGCCATTACCTCGAACAGCAGAAAATCCTCATCTAGCTTTGTCTTCAGTTTTAAATATACATAAAAGTCTCCTCAAAAGAACAAAGGGATTTAGTTCCAGCTGTTCAGCAGCATCTGTCATGCTGGAGGGGGACTTTCCAAGACCTCCCAACCCAAAATGTGTTCTTGACTCATAAATGATCCACATTGCATAACTGTATTATTTATAACCAACCTAAAACAAGTAGCTGCTGCTTTCATTCCATATATAGAGGAACTTTTTCACAAGTAAAAGACTCACCATCCACTTTATTTGGTTTCTACTGGATCTGGATGGACGTGGTCAGTAACAATACTTAGGCAGTCTGTGGTGCTCAAACAGTTCTCTTGTGTGCCAAAAAATATCCCCCAAATTATTACACCTCTATTGGCAGCCTGGACTAAAGGCAGGACAGGCCTGCTTTTATGTTGCTTACGTGAAAATCTGACCCTGCCATCCAAACGTCAGATCAGAAAGCTCTGCTATGCTACTTTCTTAAGTAACCCTATAGATGGCTGTGTGGGGAAAAAATCGGTTTCTGAAATACTTTGACCTACTTTGATCTGAGATCTAGCACCAACAACTATACCCAGTTGAAATCACCTTTCTTCCCTATTCTGATGCTCTGTTTGAACTTCAGAACTTTGAATGCCTAAATGTACTGAGTTTCTGCCATGGGATTAGCTGATTTGAAATTTGCATTAACAAGCATTTGAACAGGTGTACCTTACAAAGTGTCCATTTAGTGTAAACCTGTGTGTAGCACTTAATGCTGTGTGTTAAATTACAGGTACTGAGATTTTCAATAATCATCGATAACTGATATATAAAAACATTATTAAAGCTGTTTTTGCAAGCCTGTTTTTGTCTCTTACTGTTTTCTTTTACCTGGAAGATCAGATCTTGTTGCTGAACTAACATGGAACTAAAATTGTGCGCTCTCTCGTGCAGGAAAGGGAGACGTATTTGGGGACGTTTTCTGGAAAGAAGTGACTCTGGCTCAGTCCTGCGCCAATGTGCGAGCTCTGACCTACTGCGACCTCCACGTTATCAAACGCGACGCTCTGCAGAAGGTGCTGGAATTCTACACGGCATTTTCCAACCACTTCTCTCGAAACCTGCTGCTCACTTATAACCTGCGTAAGAGGGTGAGTGACTGTTCAGATGCCAGATACAGTTGACTGCATTTTCATTTAGGATTTACACAGAAGTTTTCATCTGCAAAGACTTCAGCCTTGTGCACAGTGGTACAGGAAAAAGAAAAAAAAAAATTAACAAAATAAAACAAACATTTTAGAATATATTTACAAATTCCAATAATATCTGTAAAGTTAGTGTTGATATTACCAGTACCAGACAGTGAGCAGTAAGTAAAGCAAAAGCTTTACTTACTTTAAGAAGAGAGGTTTTTTTGCAATCCAAGTTGAGATTGCATTAAATTCAACAAGATAAAAGCCTGGAGGATTTATTAAATAAATAAATAAATTAATCAATATTGAACCTATATATGTTTAGTCATGTCAATATATTTCACAGCAGAAGACAGCCTACCTTTCATGATCTGGACAATCACAATTGTTCACACATATCAATTCTTGTTAAATAGGGGCCAGAAACTCCCACTCTGGGAAAAGGTAACCACAGAAAACCTTATATTCAACCTAAGGGACACGTGCACCTACTGCCTTCAGTCACACAGCACTGCATAGAAAAACAGAGCTCCATTAAACAGCCACCATATACTAAAGCCGCTCTCACATCCTTCATTCAGAAATGAACAGCTGTGATCAACAATAGCGTAAGAGTAGCTACCAATCACTGCTTCATTCTTCATGAGGTTAGCCTGCTCGGGAGAGTGCAAGTGAGATTGGATTGTTTGAATTTGAAGAGGCAATCTCATCTTCTGCATTAAAGTTACTATTCACCAGGGTCCCACGTCCTGAATGTATGCAGCAGGGAAATCCCGATATGGGTTGACTAAAGGAGCCTAATGTTGCCTTCAAATGGAGCTGCTGAGATTGTGTTTTTGAGTGATCCAGCAGAGCAGACAATGTGCATTTGATCTGTACATCTGATGCTGTCTTACCTTTTCAAATGTGATGAGTGACTTTCTGCGTGTTGCAAATAAAATGCCCAGACTTTCTGAGTTAAAACTGCCACATAACCTATTTTAATCAGATACTTTCCATTTGAAAGTATTTAGTGCAGCAGAAGAATATTGTTAGAGCTCATTGTTGCTTCTAAATATGTTAGAAACTGGGGTGATTAGCCTGTAAGTGGACAATAGGTGGTAAAATGGCAGGTAGCGATGCAAGGCAGCAGTGGCATTGACATGTCAGAGGGAGAGATAGATTTATTTAATTTATCTCTCCCTAGAGAGATAGATTTGCAGATTAAATAAATGACCAAATTGGGAGGATGTTTTTGTTACAGTGTGAGGACAGTAAAGAATTAACCAGCACAGCTTCAGTTGAGTTCCCTGCACTAGCTTTACTAGACTAGATTCTTCACCCACACCCAACCGAAAAGCAGGCTCAATAGGCAAGCAGACTAATAATTCCAGGGAATTGAACTACTGGGAACAGTTCTATACAAGAACCGGTTCTCGAGTTTCAGCACTGTCATGTATCCTTGGGAAAAACAAACAGCTACTCAAATTGTTTCACATTTTCATCTATTAAAATCCAAAATGTCAAGAGTAGTTTGCGCTTATTTTCATCAGCTTTTTTAGGGGTTTTGCTTGCAGACATTAAAGTTGAATTGCTTACTGACAAAATGAATGTTATATGTTGAATGTTAGAGTGTGACGTTAATGAAGGTTAATAAAGTATTCCTGAACATGTGAATACAGAATGTGTATTTGTGTTTTTTAATTATTACTTTTAATTAATATTAATCCCTAATTAATGAGACAAGTGAATCACTGGATTGGGAGACTGGGATTGGGACATTTTAAAGCACAGAAATAAAGCTACAAAGCTAAAAACTTAAAATACAAAATGCCTAAAAATATAGTTGTCCATTAGCATCATCTGGGTGGTAAACTGACAGTGAGCCTTCACGCGCTGAAGCCAGAGGCTTGATATGAACTTTCCCTGTGCGCCATGGGAATTAGCCTTTTTAAAGTGACATTTGCAAAGAACACACATTTTGACATATTGGCAATCTTTCACACACAAATTCTACAATCAATAAGAGAGATGGTGAAAATGATGTTGATCTGCTTTTGTACTACTTCAGGAGACTAAACTGACGAGTGTGAGAGTGGTTTGGGTATAATTTTGCTTGTGTGCTGTCAAAATCTGAAACTTTTGGTCAATAAACTTTGTGGTTTTTTTTTTTTTAATGATGGTCTTTTAGTCATAAGAATTTTAAATTCTCTTTCAGATCGTTTTTCGAAAGATCAGTGATGTGAAACGGGAAGAGGAGGAGAGACGGAACCGTAAAAATGAAGCCCCTCTGAATTTGCCACCAGATCACCCAGTACGAAAACTTTTCCAGCGCTTTCGACAGCAGAAGGAGGCCCGCATGGCGACTGGAAAACCAGAAACAGATGAACAAGACATTGAGAAGGGTCCTCTCTATGTGGACATCCCCAAAAATAAATCAGCTATTACAACTACCAGCATTGTCACTGTAACAGAAAGCCCAGCTACACCTTCATCTTCAACTCCTCAATCGCCATCACCTCTCAACTGTACGGTCGCAGACAAGGCAAAACTGCAAGTGCCATCGTCCATTTCTTTGGTTGGTGGCCGCTCTGCTGAACCACCCAAACTGAAAGGCTGGGGTCGCTTTAAGGAGTCGATGGCCAAAGCTGATAACTGGAACACAGTGTCTAAAGCTGAATCCATGGAGACTTTACCTGAACGAACCAAGGTGCAAGAATCCCCGATCTCTTTAAAAAAGACGGACTCATGTGACAGCGGCATTACCAAAAGTGAGTTACGCCTGGACAAAGTGGGTGACTTCCGCTTGACGCCTCAGGACCGCAGTCCTGCCCAGCCTCCAGAAATGAGGCATTTCTTCTACCCCATCCCGGAGCAAACACTTCAGGCTTCACTGCAGGAGCTCAAGCTAGAGCTAAAGGATGACCTTAAGAACCTAAATGTTCGAATGTCAGGCCTAGAGATGCAACTCACAGAAGTGCTAAAACTCCTGAAAGCCAGCCATTCAAGCTCTGGCTCTCCACAGCATCTTTTTGACATTTCTAGACCTGCTTCACCAGAAGTGGACAAAGAGGATATCTTCTCTTGAAGAATGAAAGAGTCATCCGGCAACAGTTGACCTTAAATTCAGCTGAATCCAGTAATATTACAGATTACTCGGATAGCTGAGACCACACTGGGTATACCATTTAGATTAGGCAGCAGTGTAGTAAGATGCACCAGCCTTCATCCTAGGGTGTACCTACCTGGTAGCAAGGTAACGTCGTGCTGACAAGTTGAGGTCGTAACCTAGATTTTTGTGTCTTGGAATCTAATATCTGAAGGTTACACAAAAACTGACAGCTCTCTGTTTGTACATACGTTTGATTTATCTTTCGCTGCACTATGATGGAAAAATACTTTGAGGGGTGGCATTTTATGAAAAGTCTGTTCAGATTTTGGGGGAGGTAGGAGAAGGAGGTATCTCCATTGGAAGGTTCCAATGGAAGCAGCATGACCCACTGGTTTGTTAGCATTTGTAAGAGATTCTTTGCATGTCACATAAAGTAGACGTCTGCCTCAAATAGCAGTTGGCGCATATTTGATTAATTGAGGCCGCACGCCGATCCATTTGCATTATTTCACATTGACAGGGAAAGAGGACAGTTTTTGCAGATGCTGAATCAATCTTAATGTAATTTCCTCAAACAGTTATGTAATTATATCAGATGCCAGAATCATTATGAATTAAACAACAGATAACTCTGCCCGACCAATCTGATTTTCAAAAACATGTTTGAGCGCAGATCCTAATTTCAATAAACCACAAATAGATGTGCTTCATGGAAAATTGAATGAAATGCTAACTAGTGAGGCAGCAATTGGCAAGTTATCCCTCTTTCCTGATATCTAGGTTTACTATGTTACAGCTTTGGTGATACATACAGTAATTTTATAGGTACTGACTGTGGCCAAAACCCTTACAAATATAGAAAGTAATGGCGATTTGCACAATATTTGTAAACTAAAATTTGTGTACAATAAAACAGGCTGTCAGAAAGTGGACTGAGATCACCAGACCATTTTTGACTTTAATGGTCCCTTAAGTATATTTTTACATTTTAATCCTGTTAACATGCATGATTTAACATTTCTGTTTGTCCTCATTTTTACTTGAGAAAGCAAACAAACAAAAAAGCTAATATTAGGAGGTCTTTTCGGAGCACATGTTCAGGGTGAGTGTGTGAAATGCAGATGATCTTGAACTGTTTTAAATGTGTTAACTTGCTTCTGGCTTTGAAAAATTGAAGAGTTTCCTTCAGAGTGGGAAAAATCTTTAACCCCTCAACCCCTTTTTAATATGATGCAGTCAATACAAAAAATGTGTTGCAGACATTCAAATGTTTTTTAAAACGACACACTTGGTGCAGTAATGCCTGAATTATGCTTCAGCGGGAAATCTACGGCATAACTTACAAGATAACCGGAAACCCCTTTTTAAACCGTACACCTTCCACATAACCTGATGTGCCCCTCCCAAGAAATATAACTACGGGCCGGGTCGACATAGCCCACGACGACTGAATGCCGTGGAAGGTCCAGTGTAGGGTTAAAAGGGGTGACTGGTTACATCGTCAGTTATGCCGTAGACTTTCCACAGAAGTCCATATCACGCATAGCTGTTGTAGGAGTGTTTCATATAGATGCTGTATGTTTATGTTAATATATATTATTTAATTGTTACAATATACACTTTCACTTCATCAGGTACACCTTGCTAGTACTGGGTTGGACCCACTTTTGCCTCTAGAACTGGCTTATTTCTTCATGACATACATGTAGATTCAATAAGATGCTGAAACATTGCTCAGAAATTTTGGTCCATATTGATGTGATAGCATCATGCAGTTGCTGCAAATGTTCCCCTTTTTAAGAAAACAGTCTGAGATGATATAATTTTGTGACATGGGACTTTATTCTGCTAGAAGCAGGCATCAGACTAGCTGACATTTTTCCAATCTTACTACTGTCCAATTTTGATGAACCCTTGTGAATTGTAGCCTCAGTTTCTCGTGGCACCTGGTATGTATTCTGCTGCTACATTCGGTGATGCCCTTCTGCATATCTTGGTTGTAACTAGTAGTTATTTGAGTTTCTGTCGCCTGCCTTCTCTGACTTCTGGAATCAAGAAGGTATTTTCACCCAAACCCAGTTTTCCTTTTTCAGACCATTCTCTGTAAACCCTAGAGGTGGTTACGTGGGAAAATTCCAGTAGATCAGCAGTTTCTGAAACACCCAGAGCAGCCTGTCTAGCATCAAAAACCATGCCACTTTCAAAGCCACTTAAATCATCTCTCTTCACTGGATATCTGCATGCCTAGATGCATTGTGCTGCTGCCATGTGATTTGCTGATTAGATATTTTTGTTAAGCAGTCAAACAGGTGTACCTAATGAAATGGCTGGTAAGAATATAGATTTAATGTGATTATTTTTAAATTTTTTAAATGAAACATCTTTATTTTATTTTACTGTGAACATGCTATTATTTCTTTTTAATATCAAAAGACTTGTTTTTCCCCAATTCCACATAATCTTCAGTAGTTGTAGCGTCTAACTGGCCAAGAAGAGCTGCATTTGTATCATACAGACATTTAGTTTATACTGATGAGCAACTTGCTTTACGTAACACGATGACTACTGTAGACTCTGAGGGTAGAAATTGAATGTTGACATAGAATGCTGTATTTTTATCAAGTCCCAAAATGTATTTATTTATTTATTTTTTATTTTTTTGTATTGAACACCAGCATCAGGCAGATTCCTCCAATCATTATAAATAAAATATACAATAACAGGAACAATCTCTACAATTTCATTTTTCTCGTTAACTCTTGTTAAATAGGGATTAACTCAGATTGCAATAATTCCTGCATGATAAATACTAAAAGTTTACATATATGCCAAATATTATCAAATTTGTCCTTCGACTTTAAATTTAATGACCAAAACAAATTGACGCACGTTTCCGAAAGCAAACAAACAAAAATACAATAGACAATCAATGTGATCAATGTGGACAGGCTGACTGAGTGGAACCTAAATGAGAAAAATATGCATGAAACAAAGTAAAGCAGAGCAATGCACTCTGGTATTAAGCAATAAAAAAAGGCACAGTTAGCTTTTACAGTACAATTTAGTTCTAAGATATCCGTCGCCGCACTTGAGAAACAATGAATAATGGAAGAAAGTTTCATAATACTCTGCAAATGTGAGTCATTTTTTAAACAATCAGACTGCAGGTAATGAAGCCTGGAAAGTGGTTGCAATCAGCTGAAATAAAGTTTTATATCACTGAAATTAACGCTTGTATTTCTAAAACAAATAATATGACTTTTGGTTCGTCTTTGGAAAAAGTAGGAGCTTTACTGAATTTATCCAATAAAAGCACCTCTTTTCATGAGAAAAAATAACCATTTTTCTTTATTATTCATCACTCATGGATAATTTATGTTCCCTGCGCGCTTTCTCCGTCACAAAAGACAAGACGGGACGGACACAGCTGAGAGGAAAAAGATGCTGAGGTTTTTACTCCAACACTCATGTTCCATCAAAAATTCAGCCTGCTAAAAATAAATGGGCATGTCATCACAGAAGTGAGAACTCATTAGGTTTATTGTCAGTGTTTGGGGGGTCTGCTTCTCCAAGAATTGTGATCTCAAAACCAAAGAAAAGGCAGTAAAAATCACCATGGCCTCTCGATCACAGATTATTCATGAAGCTGCTGCGCAAGAGTTCACAAATCAAAGGGAGAGGAAAAGAGGTCAGATGGCATCGCTGAGGAATTCAGTCACTGTAATGAAAGAAGGATCTAAAGATTATGTAACTCAAGACAAAGTCTTTATCTTAGCAGCAAAATCAACCATCAGATGTTTTTAAACGCTTTGAAAGTGCAAACAGATGTGACAAAAACGTATTTATTATCTATGAATAGATGAGATGAGGATGATCATCTCATCTAGTCATTATGTTTGAAGCCAGCAGAGTTCAACGCAGACTCAGATAATTGACAAATCTCTGGCTGTGAGCCTGCAACTCTTTTCTTTTCAGATCTGTTTTTGTAAGTGACTATTTTAATGTTCAATTTCAAGTTATCTGAAAAGAAAAAAAAAAGAAATGATAGGGTTTAGTTTAATACCTGTTACTGCGACTTTCACAATTTAGCATATAAAGCATGGTTACTTGAACAAAACTCATTCCCAACACGGTAGGATAAATCCAGTAAAGTTACTGTGCTATTTTAAGAAAAAGCAGACCTACTTTGGCGGTTTTGAGGCTACATTTGGCAAATGCTAAGTCAGGTTTACATCAATAGCATGCACAATTCTTGAAACAACATTAAAGTATAATTTAACAATATCTATGTTGTGAGAAGATTTAAACCACACTCATGTCTGTGCAATAACTGCAGAATAATGGGCCGCTCACATAAACATACTTAGAGAGTGATAGGATGCTTTGTGCAGCCCGCTGAGCACCCGAGATTTAAACTCCACTTTATGCAAATGATCCAACAACCACACAAGAACCAGTTACACCCATTTTAGTGTGCACTGAAAACTAAGCGCAGCGGTTTAGTACTCTGCTCCACCAAGGGTAGGGAAATTGCTTCAGCGCATACATACGGCTGTAATCATTATCAGTCTCGTTGGTTTTGTATAATAACAGATTCAACAGTGGTTTAAAAACTGTGTAACAGGGAAATGAAGTGTGCTGTATGGCAGCAGCATGCCCCCCTCCTCCTCCTTCATCCTTTTCTCTTGCTGTCTCCTAAGAGACAGACAGAAAACCCAGAACTCATTAAGGCAAAAAACTGAAATAGTTGCAATTGTTACCTTGATTAAATTGGATTTTAACTCAGTTCCACCAACAATGGAAAAACTCAACAAATACCAGTACGGTAATCTAATTTATATGTAATCCATATGGGATTACAGGAGGCTTTTAGAAAGAAACATTTCTAGGGCTAACAACGGATTTGTAGTCATGTAGATGTCAACACTTTAAATCTTCGTGTCAAACAGAAGATTAAATGAAAACACCTGCACTGATTTTTTTTTTTTTTTGTGAAAAATGGCACATTAAAATGGATCTATTATGCTTTTTCTTCTTACAGTTTTAGAGGCTTTCATTAAATATGGTGAAAGATTAAAAAAAAGTAAGGTTAGTACATGTGCGACTAATTCCTTTTAACCAAATGCTCAGGTTTAAGAGTTTTTCTTGTTTTTGTTTTGTTTTTTTTTAACACTGGTTGATGTCAGAGAAAACAGATATTCCTAATATGGTCATCTAACAGAAGCTCCTCCCACCTGTTAAAATCTGTGAGAGGCAACCAATCACCAATCAATATCAGCCTTAAAACAACTTGATTCAGACAGTGGATGAACTGAGGGGCTGCACCAAGGCCTAGCATAAAGTTTAAACGTTTATTTTGAACTGCGAATCATACAAATCTATTCTAGTGGAGTCCAAGAATAACAATGTGAAGCTGGAAATGAGTGTAACTGGTCCCCTTTAAGATATAATATTTTCACTGAAGCCACAATAAATTGTTGTTTCACTTTATCAATGACAGAGCTGGTAATATTCATATATTTAAACTTTTATTATGAATGACACAACCTATGACTATCATTTGGTATGTACCTTATTCCATCATTGTGATCGGTTTTATTCATATTGTAAATTTACTGTTATATTACTTTTACATTTGTTCCATTAAGGCATAAAACCAAGTCTGATTGTTTTCAAAATGAAAATAGTAAAAAACATCAAATCTGATTCATGCAGCTCAGTAACAAAGATATGGCCCGTGCAGGGTACTCTCACTTAGGCCTGTGGCAAGGCCATAAATATACAATCCTAAAAGGGATGCACTCTAAAATGCTTGAAAGCAATATGTAGTTCTTTGCTTTAACATTTGTAAAAAACAAAAAACTGATCCAAAAAACAACGCAAATATAGAAAACATTAAGTTACCAAGTACAGCACCACGGTTTCATAACATCAACATTTACATATTAAAGTCGTTACCTTTGATTGCTACTGAGAAGCATGCAACACTGTGCCTTCATGATATTGCCCCATTCTCCTTTTCCAAGCAGCATTAAATACCCAAATTACTGTTGCTCCTTTGAGAAGATTTACACTGATCTATTTTTGTGGTCAGCTATGGAAAGCTGCCTAGTTAGCAAACTCTACACAGAGATATAGAAATAGATATATAGAGAGATATGCACAAGTTGTACTGCAACGTTTGGATTCTTAAGAAAGAGCAGAATTTGAATTTTATGTATGGTTTATGTATTATGCACATGCCTCTATGTTCACGTCATGTGATGAGAAATGTATTTTAAGCACAATGGAAACTCCGTGTTATGAACTGTGACATACTGTGCTATTCATAATAAATATTTTATACATGCTGCACGCTGTCAGATCTCTTCAGGCAATGGTTCATGGGTGTCTTTCGTGTTGTTGCGTTATGGCTCCTCTGTTAACGATTAGGACGCGTCTCTAAGAAGGTGTAACTCAGCAGGTGTATTCTGCTGCTGATCTTCTTATGTCAGATAAGCCTCACACTTTTGTGCTAATTTAAGAGGATTCTTCACTGCCCCCACTGATCCTCCTTAGTGCCACAGATGTGATTATCCCAATGAAAGACATCAACTAATGGAAACACCTGAGCCTTATCAGAACAGCAGAGTCCAGATTACAATGTACTTCTGTTACTTAAGGGCAAACAAGCTTGTGTCATACAAGTGTTTAAACACCAAATTGCAGACCAGTGCAGGTTAAGCAATTTAAACTTTGGGGACAGTCAGTTGCTGTGGCATGATCATGCGAAACTCAGGACCCTGAGGCAAGGTAATAGCTTTCAGTTATGACACATCTGACTAAAAATTCATTAATTCCTAACCTAATCTTCTTGAATCCGTACCCCGAAGCTGTTTACTTTCATTATTGTGCACTGTGAATAGCAAGAAGCCCAGACTGTTTTGCCACATTGCATGAAAAGCACAGATTACTTAAGTACTTAAACATAAAGTTTTAAAAATGTTGACAAACCCCTGAAAGGTAAAGAGCAGATGCAAATCCCTTGGAGTTGGTAGCCTTGGTTGCCAAAAACTGTGCTGTAGCTCACTGGTCAAACTTTAAAATGTAAAATTTACTCTTAATAAATTACATGTTCCAGGCTTTCATAACCGATTAATGTGAAGATTTCTTTCTCTTCTACCAACATGGCTGAATAATGAGGTAAATTAATCTCAATTTCTGTTGAATGTCTTATGGTTATTTGATTAGTTTTCATGAATTTTCACATTCAACTCTCCACAGTTTGGTTTGCCATGCGACAAAAAATTTTCAACCTCTCTTTAAGGATCAGTCTGGAAAACAAAAGGTAACAAACAGTTTCAGTAGAGCTGATCTCACCAATTATTACACTGATGTGTCATATACTATCACTTTTGTCAAAACCTTTTTCAAAATTTCACCAAAGAGCCACAGTGGTGGACTGATTGTAATCGATGTACTCAATCACTGTCCTAAAATATGTAGTAAACACTAATCTGCTGTTACAAGAACATTTAATAATGTATTTTAAAAAATATTAGTAAATAACTAGGCCCAACGGGACACAGTGGGTGACTCAGAAAAACATTAAGAAGATAAATTGTTTTATGTTTTGGCACGTTCAGATGTTTTTCTTTTGGCAACTAGCTTTACACACCACATTTTGCATACATTATAGTCATCAACCTTAGAATAAAGCTGTTTTAAAATCATTTTTGCATGATGATTTATGGAAGGCTTAAGGAGTTCCTCTGTCTAGAATATGAAAATTTAAAGCCTGTAATGTACTGGCAAAAAGCTCTCAGAAGAGCTGACATTTTTAATGGATTAAAATTGAAGCTGAGGCAGAAGTAGTAGGTGCTGGCACCCAAAAAATATCTGGCTACAACAGAGTATTCAAAAAGTGTCAGCTTCTCTAATGAAATACTAAGTCATTACATTTTTTTCCACCACTCATTATGATGTCAGTTAAATTCACAGTCTCCCCTCCATATAATGAAAAAACTTAATAGATATTAGCCATCAAACACATGTCAAAAAGACATATGTTTGGAGCAATGCCTCAGTGACTCTCTGTGCCTGAAAATGATTTCCCTATCGTTATTACTGAAGAGGTTTCAGAGATCCCTCTCATCCTCTATGTCATTTCTTCACTTGCTTTTAAAAAAATGGGGCAATTGTGCAGGAGTAAAAATTCACCATCAGCGTCATTACGTAGTTACACCTTGCTAGTTCCTCATCGGACTCCCTTTTGCCTTTTTCAGAACTGCCTTAATAAAACGAGGTGCTGGAAACAGTCATCAGAGATTGTTGAAGAGAGAAGTTGAAGATTTGTCATCTTCGCATCCCTGTTGTGACTCTCCCATTCCACCACATCCCAAAGGCGCTCTATTGGATTGAGATCTGGTGACTCTGGAGGCCATTTGAGTACAATGAACCTATTGCCAGGTTGGAGAAACCAGTTTGAGATAATCTAACCTTTATGACAGGGTGCATTAAGGGGCCCAAATTATGCTTTTCAAACCATTACACCACCACCACTGGCCTGAACTGCTAATAAGTGCAGGATGGATTCATGCTTTCATGTCATTTATTTCAAATTTTGACTTAACCATCCAAATGTGACAGCAGAAATCAAGACTCACCAGAGCAAGCAAGATTGTTCTAACCTCCTATTGACCTGTGTGAATTGTGATGCCTCAGTTTCCATTTTTAGCCGACAGGAGCTGCACCTGGTGTGGTATTCCACTGCTGTAACCCATCTGCGCTGACGTGGTGTGCACTCAGAGATGCTCTTCTGCGTGACTTAGTTATTTGAGTTACTGTTGCCTTTCCATCAATTCAAAGTAGTTAGTTATTTCCTCTGACTTCTGGGATCAATGAGGCATTTCTCCCAGTGAACTGCTGCTCACTGGGTAATTTCTCTTTTTTGGACCACTCACTGTAAACCTTAGAGACAGTTTTTTTTGGGAAAATCCCAGTAGATCAACAGTTTCTGAAATACCCTGATGAGCCTGTCTGGCATCAACAACCATGCTATGTCCAAAGTCGCTTAAATCACCTTTTTCCCACCATGTCTACATGCTAAAATGCAATGAGCTCCTGCCATGTGATTAGCTGATTAGATATTTGCATTACGACCCTTAGAAATGTCAAACAACACTGATTAACACGGAGTGTATATAAGGCTATATTATATTTATTCTTAATGTGTACAGTATAATACCTGTTTTTGAAGTAAATGGAGTGAATATTGAGTAATATACATTGACATTTAATCTGGCAGTGTAACTTTGAACATACAATTCGAAAGTGCCTTAAATATCCCC